ATGCCAACAGCAGTGACAGTTCTGCCCCGATGAGGGGCACGCCCTGCGTAGCCAACCACATGAGCTGACCAAAGGCAGCTCGCAGGCGGGTAGCTTCTGACGATGTCACCGGCTGCTCGGGATCGCGACGTCGATGTGCGGGAATATCTATCTCCATGAGCTCCTGGGCGTAGTCAATCATGGTCAGATGAATACGGCCCCACGACTTTGTGCGTCCATCATATTCTTGTCGGATACGCGTCCCACACTGAACAAAATCCTGGGTCTCCCAGCTTCCCCACTCATAGGCTTGATGGAGCTGCTGCAGGGCGTCCACTGCAAAGTCCGAGTGCTGGTCAATCGCGATCATGAAGTCGTCCACGTGGGCTACGGCCAGACCTCTGAGCTGTCCGCCAGGTTCTCGTAAACACCACAGGCAGGGTTCGGTCGTAGACTCCACCCAGCCGAGCTTGGCCATATCCCTGCGAACTCTTGTCCACCATCTGCGAGGAGCGTTCACCAGACCGTAGACCGCCTTCTTGAGTTTGACACATTGGTGATGCTCGAGTCGCATGGCTTCCCTGAGTTCCTTGACGGGTTCGGCCAGGACATTTCGATCTTCTTCTCCGAGGTCGCCTTGTAGGAAAGCTGCCTTGACGTCGCCCTTGAAGACCTGAAAGCCCATCGAGGCGGAGACGCCCAGGAAAGCTTGGCGAGCCCGACGACTGCACGTTGGGGAAGCGGTCTTGATCCGCCCAAGTCCCGGATCGGTAAAGCCAAGAACCACCAACCGAGCCTTGAGGTCGCCAGTCTCCTTCCTTGTAATGACCCATCTCATCTTCATCAGAGCACCTGGGTGTACTCCAGCACGACTGGCCGCCTCGCAAACTCGATACTTGAGGAACGACTTGATCTCGTTACCCTTCGCGATCGGGAGCTTCTCACGGTCCTCTGCCGTGAGGTTCTTGAGCTTCACCTCGACCTTGTTCTGTTTGACCATCGCAGCGAGAGCCTTGTCAGGCCTCCGGCTGAGTTGATCCACATCCGACTCCTCCAGCGCGAAACCGATCATGATCGCGAGGTTCGGCTCGTCCTCGCCCACGAAACCCACCAGGTCGGAAGCCTTCGTCTTCTGATCATACTCCCAGGGTGAGGTCCAACTCGCACTGCTCTCAGACTCGGGATCGGCACGACCGAGCTCGGGCATGACAAGTGTCGGTACTTTCTGGCACAGATGGCTCAAGTATCCTGCGAAGTCGGCTCGATGTCTCTTGGGTTCTGGATCTCCAGGAGGCTCTTGGCTGGCTTCTCGCTTGTTGTAACCTTCTGGTGGTGGTTCGCTCTCGTCGATCTGGTCGCTGGTCGGTGTCGGTGCTGGTTCAGCTGGATTCTGTGCGGGCATCGGAGGCGGTGTGGCCTCAGGTGTGGCCCCTTCGTGGTCACTCGAGCCCGACCCCGCTTCTCCTTCGTGATCGTCAGGTTGAGGAAATGCTGTACTTCTGGGAGTTGTCGTCCTGGGTGGGTCCGGTACTTCACCATTCTCTCCTTCTGGAATATCGTCCCATTCTCCCGGACCAGGCTGATCCACCACATCATCGTAAGCACCCTTCGTCAGCTCCTGCAGAATCTTCTTGAAGTGGTCGGAGCTCCCTGCGGAGATGCTCTCCAGGGTCTGCTCCGCTTTCGTAGTCGTGCGGAGGTGAGCGGCCGCTGCTCGTACAAGACGGTCACCGTCAACAAGCCAGACAACTCCTCGTCGCACCGCAACACCATTCTTCATCTCGCGCTCCTGCATCAAGACAGTGGCGGGACCGTGAAATCGACCAGCTATACCTGGCCGAGTCTTGTGGCTGTTACCCTTCGCACCTCGCCAGTAGTGTGCCTTCTCACCAGGCTCCCATGTCTTGAACGGCCTCGTCTTGGCCAGCAGAGCGCGCTTCGTCTTCTCCGACAGGTAGTGGTCCACGCACGCCTTGTAAGCCGCCGCCTTGATGCGCGTGACCTCCTGGAAATGCTTGTCCACCACATTGGCGCTCAGGACTGAAGGATTCTCCACTTGCTCTAAGCCCTGCCCCGACGGGGTACGACCCATCATGAGCATCATCGGGCTGTAGCCTTGGTGTCGCATCAGGTCGTTGTTAGCCACGCAAGCCCAGCGAAAGATGTCCGCGGGCTCGGTGTCATCTGGTAGCTCCCAGGCGAGGCGAGTGGCGATCTCCTTGATCGTCTCGATGCATCTTTCGATCACTCCCATTCGCCAGTGAGCTTCTCCGGGTTCTGGTCTCCGCTCCATGCCGTTACCCGAGACCCAGGCGCGCTGCTCGACCTGCCTGAAGCAACCTTCGGGATCTGTCCTGAAGACCTCCGGCTTGCCGTAGTGGTGGATCCAGTCCTTCAGCACTACCTCCTGCATCTCCTTCGCGGTGGTGTTACCACAATGCTCCTCGACACCCTTCTGACAGTGAATCGATGTCTGGGTAAAACGGCTGCCATAATCTGCACAGAGAGTCCCACGAACTTGGTAGGCTCGTCGAGGATGTGTCCAATAGAAGTTGTCGCAACCCATTTCAGTACCAGGAGCGGGTAAAGTCGGTTCTGAGCTGGCAATAGGTCGCATCTGAAACCTTTGAGCTGCCTTGCAGGCTGGACACTCGTAGTGGCTGCAAAGATCAATGAGCTTCTGGTCCGCCTTGCGAGACCTGAGGGCGGCGCTGACCGTGCTCATACTGCAGTGTCCGAAATTCCGATGGATATGTGCGATGATGGCCTCCAGCTCTCGCAACTCTGTCTTGGTACAGCTCAGGACACTCTTTGGCAGTGGCAGTCTGAGATTGCCCACCGACTGCTCTTGACCTCCCGACTCGGGCGTCGGCAGGGGCGCCTCGCCTTCTGGAGGACCTTGAGCATCTCCAGGGTCGTCAGGATCAGGAGCTGGTACTGGTCCGCCTGCTCCTTCTCCTTGACCTTCAGGAGCTGTGGGCTCCAGCGTTGGACGCTTCGGCTGCGGCGGTGGTGGCCCCTCAGAGGCGGGCCGCTTCTCCCGCAATCGCCTGTAGCCCGCTGCACACAGTTCGTCGTCCAGCTCGTTGTGGGCCTGCACCAGATAGGCGAGGGCCTCGTCCGAGGTGGCCCTGGTCATGAAGTGCCGGGCGATCCTCCTGCACATGTTCACGGGATAATTCGCTGAAAGAGCCACTCTCGTGCCGCCCTTCAGCGGCATATGCAGATGCAGATCTGGACAAATCCTCCCAACCTTCTTTTCGAACTGCGGGTCTGTGGTCGCGATGTGCCAGTCCTTGCGTATGAGGAAACCGTTCTGCTCGTCTCTCATATCATACATGCATCCGTGAATCCTGCAGCCGTGCATGGACTCCTTGAGCTCCTTGAAGTTGCCTGTCCAAGATCTGCAGCGTCCTGACTGCTCAAGGTATATGTCACAGAAACCCTCGTTCAGCAGCTGACCGATAGCCCATTTGACGTTCCTCTGGATACGTCTGGTCTTGATCAGTTTCTTCTCTGACTCCGCCGTTACGGGGTTCAGATTCTGCCATGGGCACTCTGCTCCGCACGGTGGGGAAAAACTAACTCTTCGAGGCCTCTTGCCCCGCAGTACTTTCACGAGCTTCTCTGCACCAGACCTGGCGGAAAAGTCATACCCGTTCCAGTTGCTGAATCTCTCGGCCTTGCCTCCTTGCTCGATCATCGCGTGCGTGAGCCTGGAGTCGGACACGCAGGCCACTTCTGGGAGGTCCAGCCTACCATAGGTCTCGGCTGCCTCCCAGGCGGTGCCCGGCATCTTTCCCAGAGCTGTCGTCGCCGCTATCAGCGCTCCAAGCACACAGCTCTTCACACGAGATGAAAGTCTCCGGCTGGCCTCGGCATTCCCGACGGGGTCGGCAGATCCTCTGGCCTCGGCATTCCTGACTGCTTCGGCAGATCCTCCGGGACGGGAATCGACTCCCTTGGGCATCTGGCCGACGCCCTGCCTCTTGCTCGGTCTGGTCCTGTCGTCCTCCTCCGGCTGGTCCGTCGGCGTGTCGATGAGGCCCTTCTGGAGAATCTCCTGCGCGAGGCGCCGCTGCTCCTCCAGGCGGATCTTGATCCTCTCGCTCTCGATGATCTGCTGCACCTCCGTGTCCGTGAGCTTCCGAATCACCTCGGCCGACAGGCGCTCGGGCAGCTTCTTGGGAGCCCCTGGAGGGGTCGGTGGAGGCCTTGACGTAGGCGCCGTTGTCGCCGTCACGGCCTCGCTGTCCGAGGAGCTCGACTGGTTTACCATGGGCGACGCGGGCTGGGCCGCACCCGTGGTCTCCAAGCGGTTGATGTACTGTCGGGAGCGCACGCACTGGAAGAGCATCTGGTCGCTTGTCTTCGTGAAGTGGTGCTTGAACAGGACCTCCCCACAGTCCCTGCACTTGATCAGGTCCACGAAATGGTTGGACCCCTGACGTGTCTGATCCCGATGGGCGCATCTCGGCATCGGCCTGGAACGCGCTCTCGATCTGAGACCTGCTTCGTTGAACTTCTTGAGCCAAAACGGTTCTCGAACACAAGGATCTTGGGTAGATAGTAAGACCGACCCATCTCGAATGTTCGACTTGCCGAGCGGTTTTATTCGGTAGGCTCTCGATGATCATCATAGGTTCCCCGTCCTCTCGAATCATATGCGTGTGTCGTTTCCCCGATAAGCTGGCTAAATCACGAGCTTCAAAATCTCGAAGATCACACCTTTGAAAACGAACCCGATGATGAACCCGAACTAGAGCGTGTGAGCAGTCGACCCATATATCCCGACTCACTCTCGCACCTTCTTTCCAATCAGCCCGTTCCCAGAGATACCCAAGAATAGGTTGTAGCATAGACTGGCTTAGCTCGGGGTAGGGGCCCATGATGGAGACACTGGCCTCGAGCAACTTCTGGAGCATCTGGGGGAGCTCATTGGCGTCTTTGGGGCCCCTGGTGGCGACAGACTTGGATGACGACTTTTCCACAGTCTCATTGCCGCGACCAGGGTGCTGTCCCTATTCGCTGACTGCGCTCGAGGCCTCGTTGCCCAGAGCAGTAAGATTCAGTGCCAAGTGCCCTGACGGGCGCACTCTCGTGGGGATCTCACGCTTGAACCGATGGGAGTACACGGTGTTGTGGAAGTAATCGATCACGAGCCCGTACTTCTTCAGCATATCGATTCCCAGTAGCACGGGAGACTGACGGTCCAGCACATAGATGCTCACCGCCTCGTCGTTCAGGACCTTCACATTGAAGGTCACCCGTGAGGGCGCGTCGGCCCGGTCGCCTCCAGCAAACGAAAATCCCAGACTCTTGTCCGGGCTGACCTCCATGGGCTCGCTCAGTCGCTCGCTCACGTACTCTAGCTGCTCCACGCCTCCAACGGACCTGGACGCTCCACCGTCCAGGAGCGCGTAGCCCTTGCAGTCGTCCATGCTGAAGGCCACGAACTCGTCCAGCCCTTCCTCGTCGCCGTCCTTGGCCTCGCCCTCGTCATTGACCGTGCCGATGAACACGTCCTGGACGTCCTCGAACTCGACCTTCTTGCTGTAGCCGTCGGCCGCGCCAACGAAGCTGTTGAAAGCCCGGCGCCTCTCCCCTTGGGCGCCGCCGTTGCCCCGATTGGGGCAGTCCCTTGCCTTGTGGCCCGGCTCGCCGCAGAGCAGGCAAGCCCCCTTGAACTTGTCATTTGTCCCCGAGTTCGAGTCCTTCTGAAGTGCTGCTGGACGCTTCTGACTTTGACCACGACCCTTGCCGCGGCCTGCCACGCCGCCTCGATCCTTGCCCTTGCCCTTGCGAGGTGGCCCGCCCCGGCTCACTGCCCGCCCGCGTCCAGCTCCAGCGGCGGGTTGAGTCGGGAGCGAGTCGTAGGCACCCAGACCTACCACTGGAAAGTAGCCCCTGGCGTTTTTGACCTCGTTGATCAGCTTCCTCGCCTCCACGAACGTCCTCGAAGCCGCGAAGGCCGTCTCCGTCCACTCGTTCGTCTCGTGAGTCGAGGCGGCCGCTGCCAGTGCATCCTCTCCTTGCTCCTCGTCTCCTATGGGCTCTTCACCGAGCGCGGCAGTCATCAGGTCTTCGGCTGCCGTCATCGCTGACTCCGTGATGTCCGCGGCCTCCTCGAACCCGTCGATGTACGCCTCGTCGTAGACCTCCTCGGCGTAGGCGGCAAGCTCGTCGGCGTCGTCGAAGACCGCGTGAGCGCCCTTTCTGGCCTTGTACCCCTTCTGCTTGTCCCGCGATGCCAGTTGCTCCTCCGACCACTGCTCAGCCAGTGCCTTCTTCACGTCCTGATAGAGGTACGAGTTGCCCTTGGGGCCGCTGGTCGCCAGCACCGCGGCCTGCTCTGACGGATCTAGGCCCGTCCCGTCCAGCAGGATCAGCCCTGAGATGAATTCGTGCATAAACCCTTGGGCTGGAATCTCATCACAGACTGCGTGGAGGGCCTTCCCAATCTTGCTCAGGTGGATGTCGAAACGAGAGACCCATCGCTTCGGACCTTCACCTGGATGCCGATACACTCCACGCATAAACTCTCTCCACTTGGACACAGCCCCCTGCATCGTGACCGTACCTCGAACTCCCTTGAGTGCCTCCACAACCTTTTCAGCTCCGTCTTCCTTGACAAGGTCATCGAGCGACACCTTCTTCGCCTCGAACCACTGCTGCGAGTCCTCGTCCATCGCCTGAACCAGGCGCGGGCCAAGGTAGATTATGTCATCCTTCTTCGTGCCCAGGACCCGCAGCTTTACTTTCTCCTCGAAACTCTCTAAAGTGGAGGCCTCACCATTCCACACAGGAATCTTGCTGCCAGACTGCTGCTCATTCGCCATCACGATTTGGAGATCGACCTCGAAGTGGGCTGCCACTTCGTCGCGCTACCAATGTCAGTGGAGCGTGCTTTCCACGGATCTTCAGCCTTTCACCTCGAGATATCCTCACAGCCTCTGGGAGCTGGTCCTCAGGGCTGTTCCAGTAGGCGGAGATGTCGAGCTCGAAGAGCTTGATATGCAGCAGATACGATGAGAGAAACTCGCTTTCTATCTCGAGCGGTCCCCCTGAGCTTCGGACCGATGAATCAAAATCACCAAAAAGGGCCTCTTGGCCCGGCTATAAGCCGGACGGCTACGGACAGTAAAACAGAGCACGTGCGGGTGGTTGCACATGGGTTCGAGAGCTCCATGGACCCGAACAGGACGGAAACGGGGTCAGGAGCTCTGGTCACAAAGAACCCTAGAAATCTATCTGAGATTCACAGGGGGGGGGGGGGGGGCAACCCAACCAGATAGGTCGATCCTGCCGCCCCAGGCTGGCCCCCCAAAGCCTCTCACCCTCAGAGGCCGCCGATGCGCCCCCAACGAGCCCCGAGGGGCCCTCAAGATGACAATAAAAAACCATGAGCAGCATCCAAGTGGGCTCGAAGAGGGCCCCAAGAGCCACCCCAAAAAGTTTCAATATCGGCATAGAAGAGGCCACCGAGGGGCACCACAAGACACCCCAACACGCATCCAGGAGGCCTCTGCCCCACGCTGCCAAACTCCATCCGATTCACAACACTCGTCCCCTGTGTAGTTCAACATATTTGTTTGTATGATGCCTGGTGCCAGTCGGTCGAGCCAGCAACCGCGTCTAGGTCGCGGCCCAGAGCTCCTCGAGTTGAGACCTACACCTGAACCGTGAACAGCAGGGCGAGCTCAGCGCGCGCGTGAACTGCCTTCGGCAGCAGCGCGCGGCCCATATCTTTACCACCTGGACGGTTCAGCAAGGCCAAATGCTTCACGCACTTCTCGCGCAAGGCCGCATTGCCCGTCGCCGTCTTGAACGCAGGGAAGAGCAGGCCCGCCGCGTGGGAGATCCAGCAGCACCGAATGACATTCTCGGCGTCATCGAACCAGGTCTTGACCATTTTGACATTGCAACGCTCGCCGATGCCCTTGTAGTCGGCCACGGCCTCCGAGAGCGGGGGCCAGGACCAGGTCGGCCCCCATACTAAAATAATCAACATCCAAAGATCTCCATGATGGTCCGCGATGGCTCTTGAACGGCCCAGGGCGATCCCTCGCGGCTTGAAGATAGCACAAGGGGGGCCCAGTGAGGATTCCAATGCGGCCCATGATAGCGCCAAGGCGGCCCAATATGACTTGAGGGCGGCCCCTGACCATCCCCAGACGGGCCGAGAGGTCTTCAAGATGCCCAGAAGAGGCCCCCCTCCGATATCCTCTGTCACTACCCTCCATCAATATTCGCATCGTCGCAAACCTCGCCATCGCGAATCATTCCGTCATTGCCTGTCTCGCTGTCAGCATCGGCATCCTCTACGTCCTCATGTCCTCATCCTCGTGGGTCGATCTCGTAATTCGTCCGCTCCTCGCCCGCAGATCCTCCATTCACCCTCGAGTTCTCGAGCCTCCGCTCCCCCCCCGCGGCTCCCCCGTTATCACCCGCCTGGTCCTCTTTGTCACTATTATCCTCTCCGCCGCTCACCCTCCTGCCGCTCCCCAAATCCTCCTCCATATCCCTCCTGCTGCTTCTCCTGCCGAGTAGTCGCGCCGAACGAGCCTTCTCGAGCTCCTTCCGCATCTTGGCGACGCGAGGCCCCTTCATGATGGTCTTGGCCCCGTGCGCCTGGGCGTCCTTCCAAGAGTTTCGACTCTTCTCGCCCAGCCCGCCCAACCAGCGGGCGCCCGGACCCGCCGCCGTCTTGGCGCGAATGGCGGCCACGTCGCCAATCGCCTGCAACATCGCGTCGGCCTCGTCGGCCACGGGCGCAATCGCCTTCAAGATCGGGTCGATATCCCAGGGGGTCGGCTCGAGGGCGATCGAGGGCCGATTCCTGAGGTAGTGGTCGAACTTCACAAGTTCATCGCACAGCAGCTGGATGGAGACTACCTCGGTTGAGTTTGCCAAGGCTGCGACGGGGTCGAATCCGTGGGAGTTCTGGCAGTCGGCCCTCAGAGTGGTAAGGTCTGCTTCAGTGAACGCGCCTGGACCAGGTACGGGAACCAGTCGTCGCGCCCGCTGATGTCTCCCTTCGAGGTCGCGCTCTGCAGCTTGGAAACCACGCGGCTCAAGCCGTCGACGATGGGCTCTGGGAAAGACTTGACGGCCGTGCCGATGGCCTCATCGACGAATGTCTCCATGGAAGCGAACACGTCATCAGGCAACTGAGACATGCACATTCTTCCGATAGCGTTATCAACGATGCCAAGGTTTCCCGCGCTCTGGTCTGAGATGAACGAATCCAAAACACTTTTGATGGTCTTAATTAAGGTCAGTGGCCCTGCTCGCGTCGGAGATGCCCTTGGAGACCTCTTCCTTCCATTTCGGGATGCCAGCGTGCGTCGGGAAGGCGTGGGCGGCTTCCTCCAGCATGCGGTGGGTCGCTCTGACTAGGTCCCCACTTGCTGCGCCGTCCCTCAGCGAGGCCAGCGAAGCCTCAACCAAGACCTGCAGGGAACGCTGGGCTTTCGAAAGGAGGCCGCTCAACAATGCCGTAGGAATCGCCACGTTGAGCTTCGGAATCAGCTTCAAGAACTCGCCGATGACGTTCACCGCCGTCAGGCGCTCGGGAGCCCCCCCCTCATCCCATGTCTTCTCGGCGGGTGCCTGCTGTTCGAAGGCCGAGTTACACGCGCCCCGCAAGTCCGCAATCTGCCCCTCGTTGACCGTGATCAGCTTGAACCTGTCATTGTAAAATGAACGCCCTGCCGCTGCGAGGCTGACCGAGAACAGCGCGCTCTGCGCCTTTTTGAAGGCTCTTCAAGCTGACAACGCCCTGCATGAGGTTGTCGCCGCCCTCCTCGTCAAACACTCGGCTCGGGTCGAGCAGCACGCGCAAGGCGTCGTCCACCGTCGCGAGCTCGCACAACAAGTCGGCCTCGTCGCTGATTAAATCGCTGCACTCGGAGGCTTTCTTCGTGTAGTCATCGAAGCAACCGCAGACGGCGTGCACCATATCTGCCCTGCCCTCGCCCTCACGTACCAAATAAAGGAAGAAATCCTGCATGGAGAGAATGTTGAACTCCCACCTGGCCGACTTGAAGGGCGCGGGGATAGTGTTGAGTATCGGCTTAGTCACCTTCAACTCCATCGCCGCCTTGTCGCTAAATGGGAGGGGTCACACCATCGCCAGAAGGGGGGCGCAGACTCTTTGTTGCACACCGCCTTCGCAAACTTGTGGAAGTTAACGCGCAAGACTTTCGCCAACACCAAGGAGGGAATATTGGTCACTGCGGCCGCCGCCTCCAGCGCCGCGACGCGCTCCCTGTGATCCAGCGCGTCGACGTGGTCAGCGTGGAGCGATTCTGCCAGTGAGAAAAGTTCCATGTGCTTCTTGAGCTTCAAAACCTTGTCTACCTTGTCTTCCTCGGCTTGGATCCACTTCTTCATTGTGCATCTGGACTCCTAGCTTGCCCTTCGCCATGGCCAACCAGATGCTCAATGTGGAGATCCACCTGTCCGCCGCGTCCCAATCCTCCGTGTTCGCAGGCAGGTCGGCAACGCTCATCACAGACGCGGTCTCCTCTGCTTTCGGATCAACGCACTGGCTGAAAGGCATCTCGATGGGGACCCCGTGCACACACGGTACAGCAGTCCCAGAGCTTTTCCTCGACGGCGCTGCCGACCTGGCCGAAATGCAGCCAGCGACGCCGTTGGCCTTGCGTGCCCTCGCAAGCGTACTGGCTGGGGTGGCGACCGCAGACCCACCTGCGCCGCTGCTGGGCCCCTCGGCGCCTCCGTCTGAGTTCTGTTCGTCCTCGTCGCCGCCGCGAGGCGTTATCAAACTGCCGGCATCACCCAGCCCTTCGGAGTCTCCCCCTCTGGGTTGGCACCCGCGCCGCGCGACGCAGCGGGAACCTCGATGCCCTCGAGCAGCTTGTTGCTGAAGGAATCGAAGGTGCACATCTTCTGGGGGTCCAAAATCCACTTGGCCATGCCAGGTGACCCCCCATCCTGGACAAGCCCCGAGAGGAGGAGGGGGAGCTGAAGAACGAAGAGGACCGAGGGGCAGGGAGGGAGGGGGGACGAAGGACCGCCCCAGTAAGGGGGCCATCTGGCCCGGCCGAAACGACTTTGGAATCGCCCGCCCTCGCGGGCTAGCGCCGCCTGAAAGTCAACCGGCTTCGCCACTCTGCGCTCGCCCTGCATCCCAGACCATTTCCTGAACGACATCCGCCGCCTGATCTTTGTAGTAGTGCTTGTCGGTATCCATTATCTGCGATTGGCGCTGCAAGCCAGAGAACTGCTTGATCGTCACGGTGCGGACGTTCGCCTGGGGCTGATACTCGAACATCCAGACCTGCCCCAGGCCGCCGCCCTTCTCCTTCGGGACCTGGAGTGTGGGGAGCCAGCGAACATCTCGCAGGCGCGTGACCCTGTTAGAGAGCTTCTTGTACTCAACCGCGTTCACCACGCTGCACTTCCGATCGACCTCGATGGCAAAGCCATTGTGTTCGAAGCAGCCTTCGGGGACAAAGCCGACGACCTGCGACTCCATGTTGGCCTTGGCCTCATTCCACTTCTGCACGAAAGGTTTGGCCTTCTTCTTGAGCATGTCGGCGACCGTAGATACAAGCAGAAAGGAAAAACACTCATTGTATACATCCGCCTGCTTCGGGCAGAACGAGTGCTCCAGCCTGGCGCCGTCGTCGGCCAGCTCAACGATTATCTTTAGATCACCTTTCGCCTCTGGGGGCAATGCCAAGAGCTTCCCCCTGCAGGGGGAAGGGGGGGGGGCGAGGAGAGTGGCGAAGGGGGAAGGGCAGGGGTGGCCATGCTGACCCCCCCCGTCCTCCCCCGTCCTGCTCCATCCTCCATCCTCCATGCCCTGATCCTCATCCTCGCCGCCCTCATATCATTCGCAGTCCCCCGCCACCTATCCCACCCTGATCCGCCCCTCCTCTCGCCCTCCCCGCCGACCAGCCCTACTTGGGGACCGTGCCCGGTATTGCGTGCCAGCGTTGGCCCTCGACATGCGCGTACGTGCGCGCGTGCCAGCGCGCATCCACGCGTGCACGCGCGTAGTACACTAGTAGACACACGTACAAATACATTCACAGCCCCACGACTCACATGAGTGCACATGCCACATGCCCACGTACACATGTGATTATGCATGAACACCACGCGGACACAGGCCCATACAACTACCAAAGTACATAAGAAATAAGTACGCACACGCTGCACACGCGCAGACACACCCGTGCGCACGCGCAGATAGCCGCGCAAGTGCACGAACACGCACACGCACACACACACACACACACAACAGAGAGCGCGCACACTTGCACGTAGACGTTTCCATGGCCATAGCCATCAGAAAGTTGAGCACGCGCGGGCGCCCGCGCACATGGGCACGCAGCCCGACTGACAAACTAAACTTCACCGTGCGTGGGGCGCGACGCAGGGGGGGGCCAGCGGGGCATGGAACTCCGACGCGCGCAGACAGAGGCGCGCGCGCACGCAGAGGCACACAACGCACACACAAGGAGATAGGTCCCGAAACACAAGAGCGGCGCTCTCGCCCGAGACTTCCTTGCAAATCAGTCAAGTGGGTAGCGGCCAAGCTACGACGACAACGGCTTCGACTCGATACTTCCGCATAATGTACTCCCTTACGCCATGGCCAGAGAGGCCGCGCAACTCAGGAACGGTGCTCTCGCTCGAGACACCCTCGCAATCCAATCAAGTTCGTAATGGCCCACCTACGGCGACAACGGCTCCCGCTCGACACTTCCTCATAATCATGCAGAGACGCCCTGGCCAGAGAGGCCCCGAAACGGAGGAGCGGCGCTCTCCCCAGAGACGCCCCCGCAATTCGACCAATTCGCATGAGGGGAGACGCGCAATACCACATTCGAGAATCAAATCGGGAAAGGTCGCCCGGGGTGGGGACCGCAGCCGGGCGCGCGAAGCCCCGCCCCCACCCCTGGCCGAGCGGCGCGGGGTTTCGAACCCTGCTATTTCGGGAAGCATCCTATTGCCACGCACTGCGGGCACAGCAATACTCTGGAAGACGCCAGAGGGCCCCGCCGTAGCGACGCAGTGGCCGACGGCACGGAACATTGGGAGAAGGAAACGAAACGGCAAACGTAAAGGGACGAAAGGCTTTCTTTCTCCTGCTTGCAGGGGCGGGGCGAAAGGAAGGGGAAAGAGGACGGGGAGGGGGGGGGGGGGGGCGCGCGCGCAACCTGCCGCCGCCCTGAATGAACGCCCCGCGCGCAATGCCCTGCGCGCGGAGCAGCTCCCAGCTGGTTCGGTTCACCATCTTCACGAAGGACCTTCGCCGCGGCTGTGCGTCGCCGCGGCGTCTGGAACAACGCCCAACTGCAGATGTCGAGAAGCCCCCCGCGCTAACCGCGCGCCGCTGCCAACTATCGGCGACGCGCCGCGGAACCTCGCCGCTCCCGCGCGGCCTCTGGCAATTTTCCAACCGCCGCAGCGGCCGTCGGGCACGGCGTGGCGACGCACGGCACGGCGCGCCCGCCTGGGCCTTGGTCAGAGACGCACTGTCTCAACGCCCCGCGGGCAAGCGAGCGCAGCCCCCTCTACCACTTCGTGCGCAGCCAGGTCGTCGGCCGCAGCCACGAAGGGCATCTCGACGGCGTCGCGGAATAAGTAATCAGCGCGACGCTCGGCCGAACTGATGCGTCGGGCACCGTGGCAACGGTTCCCATTCGACAGGAACGCGCGCTGGGGCGCGCCCATGCGCTTGCACTGCGCTTGGCGGAGCCATCAGCCATGCCCCCCCCACCCCGCTGGGACGTAGCCAGTAGCCAACTCCCCCTGCCCATCGTCGGCGCTGTAGCACGGCAAATCTCCGCCTTCGCCAGCGCGCCCTTGGGCGCGCGAATTGCCGCCGTCTTCGCCCGCAACCCGCCGCCAGCGCATGAGGCACAGAGGGCCCCGCGAATCGCACGCGCGAAGGATTTCGCTCTCCGACCGCCCCCTGGCCCCTGCCATATCAGCCCCCCCCCCCCCGCCCTCCGCCCGCGCCCCCCGCGCCCATTCAACTTAGCGCCAGCGCAGTTTTGTTGATCCCCCGCGCCGCTCCCACGTCCATCCCACCTCCTCCCTCCCCCATCCTTCTTCTCCTCCTCCCCCTTCTTCTCCTCCTCGCCCCCCCCCCCCCCTCCCGCCC